CCCCGCCGCCCCGAAACGCTGCTCCGCTGCGGGTCGCGCTTAACCCTCGGGTCCGCAGGGCGACGCGGGTGCCACCATCACCGACATTTTGCTCTAGACATGCCCAACGGAACTGCCGTCGCGAACATCCGAAATACTTTTTAAAATAAATTACTTTTGTCGTGCAACAATAAACCGCAAAGACAGCCTCCGAGGAGTGGGGCTGGAAGAAGCCGACCGGATTCGCGTAGGGCGTTACAGCCAGTTGGAAATACAGATTTTTTTCATGTGGAAACGTAGAGTGAAGCTATTGAAAACAGCAAATGCTGTCCTGTTAAGAAACTGAACATTGTTCAGGAGTGAAGTGCTGCACCAGCGATAGCAATGTGTTACAACTTTTAAATTTTTTTTTAGGATTCTGTTAGGATTACTGGATGTTCAGGCAAATGTGGCACAGGACTGGACGGTGACAGGCTGGTTACCTAGCTCACCGTTGTTTTTTACTCTGATTATAGGTTTAGCTAAAGCTTAGTTTTACAGAGCTAAACTTAGTGAATAATTGGATGGTAGGAAAGAAAAATGTTCTTTTGCCTTCTTTGCGCTTTTAAAGCAAGTTTTAGAAGTGTATGAAATAAATCTGGTCTGCCCGCTAGATGTATAGATGCTTAGCGGTGATCCTGACAGTCATTTGCAGATTAGACTCCTGGCTGCTTGTGATTGCGGTTTGTTTACTAGGAGTAACGTCATTTTAAACAGAATCCCCGGTTACATCTGTATGACAGTTTGTTTCTATGAGCAAAGCTTAATATATGTGTGGAAAAAGGGAGGGACAGTAGTCTTGGAGTTGTGCTTTTGTGTTTATTATCACCAGGCTTTGTAATTACAGCTTACAGTCCTGTAACTGAAAGCTATAGATTTTCCTTGCTTACTGACTAAAGAGATTGTGGAGGGCACAGAAGTCCGTTTGCTTTCCTTCTCTTGTGTTTTTTTCACCTCATATCCTTCTTTTTAACTAAGAAAGAAAAATGAGTGAGAGTCTTGGTTACTCTCTTTCTTCATAAAACCACTGAATAGCACTTCTTTGGCTCATAGCTGAAATTCTGCACTCCGTGGTCCGTTGTTGTCCATGCTGGAGGAGAGAACCTGCTGAGGGATATCTTCTTGTCAGCATCTTATTGACCAGCATTTTCACCACCTCTGGATTATCCTCGGCCTTTGTTGGAGAGAAGCGAAGAAGAATGTAGCCTGATTCACGGTTTTGAGATGCTTTGCTTAGGTTATTGTGCCATTTTGTTATATATGTTGTGGTAAGTTGTTTTGCTGCATCCTTGAGAATGTTACCTGTTGAATATACCAGTTCCAGTTGAGGGAGGCGGAGAACTGAAGGAGGCTCTTTTGAGACACATCGTTTTCCAGGAAGTTCTGTTTCAGCTTTGAAAGGAATAAACTTTGTCATTATGGCCAGGACTCTAGCTCTTAGGGGCATGCTGTCTGTCATCAGGTACACACCAATTTTTGGTTTTTGCCACCTCCTCTCGCTCATGTTCACCTTCCTTGCTAGTAGCAGTGAGGTCCAGCAATGTCTGTTGAGCCAAGAGAGAAGCTCAGATGAACCGAGTTACTGCTGTTCTCGCTGTGCCCTGAAGGGCTTGCCAGGCAGAGGAATTTTTCCTCTTGCGTTGAAGGAGATTATAAAGTAGTGTCTTCTCTTTCTCCCTTCTCCCTTCCCCCAGCCAGCTGGATGATCATTCTTGTGCAGCTACAGTGCTGAGCGTTTCCCTTGCAGCTGGAAAAATGCTGTGTCATTGGCAGGAAGAGAAGCACAGTTCTTCTCGCTGGGGGTCTCCCACACAGGAATTGTGCAGAATTTCGAGATGCAGGGACGAGTATATTCCTTTGTAGCTTGTACAATAGGCTGACAGTTTTGTATGAAACACCAATGCCTAGATGTGGTGAATAAATTAAAATTTTCAAGAAACGAACTTTCTGCATTCCCAATTTTGCTCTTCCTAAATTGATCTCAGCATTGAAAATCGAGGAAAACAATGATGTCACTCTCTTTACTGACCTGCATTAAAAGAGCAAAGGACACAGATGAAATTCAAACCAGAAAGTCCAAGCATCGTGTTCTGTACCTTTGAGCTCTTTGTGTTTTTTCCCCACATATTGTAAAAGGAGACATAATTTAACATTTTATTGAAGGCCAGTTCTGTTTTTACCAGCCTGTTATAAACCACACTAAGGGAGTCTTTGTTTAGAAAACAGCCTTTCTGGATCCACAAAAAGGAGTCGGAAGGTGGGAGGTGATAGCTGAGTCGATATATTTAAGTACCATTTGTCTTTCCTAGGGAGCGTGACAAAGTAATTCTGTCCACAGTTTCATTGGCTGAATTATGCTGTTAAACCAGATTTTCAAATCACACATTTTAAAGGGCTGTTATAAAAAATGTGCTTCCTTGAAGATGAATGGTATTGGAATAATAATTAAACAGTAATCTTAATGTTAATTTGTCAATGGACATCTGTTAACGTGAACATTTTCAGTGTTTTTCAGTAGAGCAAATATGTTGGGGGGGGCAGAAATGGAATGGTCTCTTCACATTCACCTGGTAAGAGGAAAAAAAAAAGCTTCTAAAGTGTGAAATTTTCAGTCTTGGGGAAGGATTTGCCTCTCAGTGCAAATGATTCTGTGCCAAGAATATTAACATTTTTAATATGAGATAATACCCTTCAAGCTTGAAAGCTGCATGCAAATAAAATGTAGGAGGAACTGAAGTTTAAGCTTAACTTGGAAGATATGTGAACCTTTAATTTAATTTCCTCTTCTCTACCCAAGGCTGGCAATACACTTGCGGATCTGTGCTTGACTGAAGCATGACTGATTTCTGCTCTGTGAGTGAACTGGGGAGAGAAGTGTAAGTTCACAGCTGCCTGTGAAAATGAGCTCCCTCTCTAAATTAATTTGATATAGCATTTTCCAAGATGTATCTGTAGTTATTCCTTAATGTTATATTGTCTGAACATAAGGATTACTTCAGTCTGTGCTTCTTTCTTCTCTCTTTGTCAGATTCCAAATTAATGAAAATTTTGTATGAGTCTCCTGACTTTCTGACGTTTTGTAAGTGCACAGAACTGGAAGTGTCTCTGATCTGGGTAGGTGAATGGATCTTGCCCAAACTTCGGTACCAATATTTAATCTGATTGTCTAGACTACCTTAACAGACCATGAAGATGCAGTCAATTGTGTTTAGAGTGTAATAGCATTGGCAAAAACCAGATGCTTGCTCTAAAATGAGATGGATTGCAACTGGCTAGCGTTTTCTGCGATCAGAGGCTAGGGCAACATCCCTTGCTCTCCTTAATAAGCTTAATGACCTTTTTAGAAGCAACACGTGGATCTTTATAAGTCTGTGGGTCAGAAGCTGCAGGTAACTGGACTAGACTACAGAAGTCATGGTGTTCTCATGTAAATTTTCAGTTCCCCTAGTGAAACCACTAACTGCCATTTCCATCTGCTCTGATTTGAGTTTTTCCTCAAGGATGGGTGACTAGGGTTGAACGTAATATTGCAGAAAAAGTCACGCCATCACTTACTTTTTTTCCTTCACCCTATCACACTAGTGATTCATAACGTCCTGTGATCGACTCGTGTATCTGGATCGTCATCTGTTTTAATAATTTCTAGACTGATGAATCCGGCACTTATAGGAAAAGCCTTTGTTATTAGTCACTGACTTTACATCTGCTTCTGTTTAGTTTCACCCTATTTCTACTGTTCCAGCTTTCAAGAAAAAAATTAGGTGATACTGTAATCCTCCTCTCTGTCAGTGATGCATCTTGGCTTCCTGCCACCAGCAAATTTCCCTGGCACTTGGGTTCCCTTTAATATCAAAGTCACTGGTAAAAATGGTAAACAAGGCAACTTTCAAGACACTTGCAATTTCTGAGTAAGTTTTACTGAAACACTTGGATCAAAGGAATGCAGAACTATGCTAATAGAACAATTTCGTCAAGGGAAGATACTGCTTGTACCTTTCATGGTAACAGATTGAATTTTAAATTTACCTTTTCCGTTTAAAGAACATTTAATATTCCTTGAGTGCCAAGTCTGAAGAACTCTCTTTTTTCTCAGGGAGGAGACATTTCTTTCTGATGTTTCCTGCTCAAAAGTTAAAAGCTGAAGTACGAATCAAAGTGCCTCAGCCGTCAGGGATCAGCTGTGCAGGACAGGCAGGAAGCTAGGACTCAGCTTTGACCCAGGAAATCGGATGTTGTCTTTCAGTGTTAACACCATTGCCAAGGCGTGTGTGATAGAGCCACACACTAGTTTATTTCTTCCAGTGTACAGTTAATCTAGCGTTGTAGGTGAACTGGCTCTGACTGCTGTATGTGCAGTCCCGTGTCTCCTGGAGAGCAAGTTTGTTAAAATACTACTGAGTCCAGTAAGTGCACAATTCTGTAGCGTGCTCTAAGTGTCTGAGGGCTCCAAGCTTCCATTATACCAGGATGATTGATGGATTTAAAATTTTTATTAGTTGTTGCTTACATCTGCTTCTGCTTCAAGGCTTGTTTTGTTTTGTTTTAATCTGGACCCAAGAAGTCTGAAATCATTCCAGTTCTTCTGAATGTTTTTTTTTTCCTGTTACAGTGACTGTCACCGAAATCAGGAGTAAATCTTAACGCTGACGTAGCATTAAAAAGCAGACATGCTTTATTACAGCCCCAGATGCACAGGGGATCGCTCCTCATGTGCATGCCTTGCTCCAAGCTTATATCACCCTGTTACATACATGTGCATTAAGTTTCCCACGGTATTCATACTTACTTATTCTGTTTCCTGGAACTAATTATCATATTTGCATACTCATTACACATGCGACTTGGGTGTCTGTGGGGCTTCCATGGGGTCCTCGATGGTCTCTGGTGGTTCCTAGTGGTTGTTGAGGTATCTCTTAGTGTCGTTTCCATGAATTCTGAGGCTTTCCTTTCACATATGGTCATGAGTTGGCTCGTTGAGCAGTTTGGATTTCTCAAGTTCCTTGTCTTGGTGTCTGATGGTTTATCTGCACTTCTTCAGGATGTGCTAGTTATATGTCCTTGGGTGTGTTCTTGCCTCTGATAATCAGTCCTTTGTTTTCTGCTTAATCTTTGTGATGTTCCTTATCGCTTTTTTACATTATGTACCCCCCGTACATTAAATCATGTACCCTATTTTACTACATGACAAGGCTTCGAGCAAATGTGTTCAGCCTGTTTGGATAGAATGATGCATACCTGGAAACAACAGTAGAATGTTCAGCTAACAGGAGGCTCCTGCCTATTTTTTTTTTCCTTTTATGCATGTTTTGATACTACAAGCCACAGTATGGTCCTAGTTTAAGCATTAGATAAGATTAAGTTACAGGTGCATCACAAGAGAGTTTAATTCCAGTAGATACGCTGCAGACAAGGATTTCTTTGTCCTGTTTTTCTGGTGGTTATTCGTGCGTGGTTTGATTTCTTCCTGCTTTTATGAAGTACCACAATAAGCAGTTAACTTCATGCGAAGATCAAAACTTTGGGGAATGTGATGTTACTTTTGGCAATAAAAAAATCATGTCAGCCAGGAGTTGTGCTGTGAAATACACATTTTTTTTTAATAAAAGTGCTAAGGCCAAACACATCGTGCTAAGGATTTGTTTTTGTAAAAATCTTGCAAAATACATACTCCAATAAACTTCCAGAAATCCATATCTGTGATCAAGTTGCATCATCATTTCTTCCTGGCTTCAATTTGAGCAGCTTTGAAAGGAAAATTTTCTGAAATTGTGTAAAAGCAACAGCTTTCTTCAGCACAAATTTTTCAGTATGATTAATTCGGAAGAGTGGATTTCCGTGATTGTGTGACTCGCCTAAGCGACAGGTGATTTGTGTTATTTTCCAACACGAGTAATAAAACATTTTATTCTCTTGTCGTCTTTCCCTTTTCAGATCCAGCTGTGGGATACGGCAGGCCAGGAGCGCTTCAGGAAGAGCATGGTGCAGCACTATTACAGGAACGTACATGCTGTTGTGTTTGTGTACGACATGACAAACATTGCCAGTTTTCACAGTCTGCCATCGTGGATAGAGGAATGCAAACAACACCTGCTCTCCAGCGATATACCACGAATTCTTGTTGGAAATAAATGTGACCTGAGAAGTGCTATTCAGGTACCTACGGACTTGGCCCAGAAGTTTGCGGATACTCACAGCATGCCATTATTTGAAACCTCTGCCAAAAACCCCAATGACAATGACCATGTGGAGGCCATATTTATGACACTGGCTCACAAGCTTAAAAGTCACAAGCCATTAATGCTTAGTCAACCCCCAGATCGCGATGAAATACATTTAAAGCCTGAACCAAAACCTGCCATGACCTGCTGGTGTTAAATCATACTGGTATCAGCTGTCACCATGTCTTGTTTGCAAAGGCTTCAAAATTATGATCTTGGCAAAGTTCCAGGTTTTGGTAGCAATTAGAGCAAATCTCTTTGGCACTTTAATGGGGGGTTTTTTTGTTGTTTTGGGTTTTTTTTGTCGTGTAGATGTCCCCATATTACGTACTTGCACTTTGTAATTGTACTTTCTGAAGTAACTGAAGTTTCACTATAAATACACGGGAAAGTAACCTTTGAAGTTTTGACAAAGCAATTCTACTTGAGCTCTTGCTGCCTGAGATTGTGAGATTGTTTTCATCACTTGTGATAAGGTTGTAAATAGTGAGCCAGTTTACTAACTTTTTTGGTTGCTACTTGCATTGGAATAATGTAGGAGAAAAAGTGTTTTGTCACAGCCAGATAGCTTGATTTTTGGGTCAGCGAGTGGGGACATTTTTGGCATATGAAGGAATATTTGATGACTGCTAAAAACTTGCTAAGCAAGTACTTTTTTGTATTTAAAAACAGAATCCAGGACTGTCAGATAAAGTTTGGGCTGTCATTGTAGGTGCAAACTGCTAGCTTTTGGCCTGTTGTTCCACTGTAAACTTTTGCCTGGTTCTCCATGGTGATGGTAAGAGAACTGACAAACTTGTCCCTACCTGTAGACAATTATTTGATACTTAAAACTTCATTGATTTTTTTCATAATTAACATGTAAAACTAAACTATGCATTCCTTCATACGGAAAGTACTGTAGCACAGGTTTTGGGGTAAATTTGGGACTATAACTGTCCATAACTTCGCTGACCTTACTATAACTTCAGTGAGGACTGATTCCTAAAGAATGCTGTATTTGGGTTGAGTGTCCCAGGGTAAGTAAAAACACTTAAGTAAAAGATTGAGTGAAGTTGGCAAAAGCTGGTTTTCAAGGACAGGGGTTTCAGGGGATTTTAGTGATGATAAATACTTTTCAAGTGTCTTGAAAAAGCTTTTTACAACCAACTTGATAACACATTTTAGGGATGGAAATGCTTAGGACAAAATGTTAGGAGTATGGGACTTGCTTAAAATAATTCTGAATACAAAATAAATTAGGTCTTGGAATATGGAGAAAATCTACCAAATACATCATCTGTTACAGATTTTTAAGCTAAAACCTGCTTGTGTAATGTCCTGGCTGTATGTGGGCCATCCTTGGCATTACTAACGTGAGTTAGTAATGTGTTGGGTCAGATGAGGGAAATTACTCCTCTAGAACCATCTTCTTCTATGTTCTCATGATTGCAACTGTTTTATTTCAGTTCTGCCTGAAGGTCAAGTTTCATAATGGTGCTAGGTTGGACGTAATTACATAAAGCGAAATGTAAGCCATAGAATGCGATCTATGACTTCGTTCATATGCCATGTCAAACAGTGTTTTGCGACTTGGTTTTTAAAGGAATTGAAGTAAAAATGAAGATTTTTGATTTGAAGTGTGTAGTGTGTGATGCTGGCTGGAAACTAAAGAGAAGGGCCAGTTCAGAAGCTGCCACTCTAGTGATCACATTAGAAACAAATTATTGAAACAAGATAACTAATATTATTTGAACTATTACAGTTAATAAGATGTAATTCTATTGTAAGTTATACCAACAAAAGAGAAATGCATTGACTTTTTTTTCTAGATATAGAAAGAGCATTCAATTTGGTCTAATATGATTAAGATGTTTAAAAAGAATCTAAACAAAAGGTAATAATTTTTTTTCCTGTATAAAGCTGCTACAACTGTGACAGTAATTTTGTTTAGGAAACATCTGTAAAAGGGAACTTTTGTATTTACTCTGAACCTTACATGACTAGAATTTGTTTTACAGTCCTTTCAGAAACAATCAGCTTCTTAACACTATGTCCTTAATGCTTCTTTTAAGAAAAGGATTGATCTTAAATTTCTGTGTATACTATTGTAAATAAATATGGTTTACAGTCCTCTTGGACAATTTGTTTTTTGCTCACATCCTTAATCCTTTTTCTGGAAAGGATCCATCTTAACTATTTGTAGAAGAAGTTTGTCAGCAAAATTTTTTTTTTTTTTTTTTTTTAATAGAATAAAGAATTCCAGAGTCAGTCAGGTTGGGGGTTGAGGTAAGGAAATTATGTAGCTACAGTGTTACTGTAAACTTTTCTATCAAACATCTGCAAATTTGTTAAGCTTTATTTGAGTTATTCGCAACCTGTAAATAAGGGTCCTCATGTCATTAAAATCGTGTGTGGAAATAATGTTGAAGTATGTAATTCTGTCTTCAGCACAAAGCATGTTTGAATGGTTCTGCCATAAAGGTGACGTGGTCATTAATGCCGGAGTCAGTATGCTTCCTGGCTTTCAGTGGTAGTGTTCTGCCCAGAAAATTGATGTCAGAAGTACCGAATACTTTGTATATGTGTTTTCACTCTACCAAATTGTAAAGGTGGGTTATTTTGTATGTGTTGGGGGGAGGGCAAGACACAATCCCAGAAACCTAATAAACTGGCTTTGCCATGAACTGTGATCACTTGCGTTCAATAATTATGCTAGGAACGATGATAAAATTTCTTATGGTAAAATCTGTAAAAAAAAAACAGAACTGTAAGGGAGGGAAAAGAGCTCCTAGTTTCTGTATGTGTGGGTGACAGTTTTGTGGAAGACTGTCACAGTACTTGGACTAGTGTCAGTGCTTTCTTGTGGTGGCTCTGAGTTGTTTAGAAGCCTCTGAAACACCCACCTGACGATTCAGAGGCGTGTTTGGGATTTCTGTCAGATGCCAGAAGAACGGGAAGTGACACAATGGTTATAAAACTAGGAATCACTGACCCTTGAGTGGATGTCAAGACCCTAAAGGAGTCTTCTCTGTTCTTCTTCTCTTAGTCTCACCTCATGTTCCGAAATAAAAGCTTTTAGCTTTACGTACAGGTGGGACTTCTTTGTTATCTCAGAAGTCTGTCTTGCAGGTTTCTGTTCGTGTGTGTGTGCAGATATGTGTGTGTGCACCCGCACACAGGAGCAAGGCTTCAGTTCCGATTAAGCTGGCTTTTTGGTAAATATTGTAGTGCTTTCCCCACAGAGGAACTCTCAAATCATTTGTGTTACCTAATGTTTCACTACTGCCCTGTTTACGCTCCTCTTCTAAGTGTATCAAAAGCAAAAAAGTAACACACCTTTAGAGATGGTTTGTGCCTTTAAACATGGTTGCAGTCATTACTGCACACACAGGCTGTTAATTCTACTGCATGACTAAAAGAACCTGTCTATGGAATGTGCGTACCTCGTGCTTGTGGACCCTGGGAATGACCAGCAGGGACCATGGTAGACTACCAGCAGTGTGATGCAGGTGCGAGCCCTGCTCCCAGATTGACAGGAGCCCTTTCATCCAGCTGCTTAGGAAGGAAGGCGAGAGGTCGGTGTACAAACTCGAGATGTGTCCTGGTATTCATGTGTATACCTGTTGCACATTAGGGTTTTCTTGGGGGTTTTTTTTTACGTCGCATGTCTTCAGCATGGCTAAAATAAATGGGTTTTCTATGCGTATTGTAATCTGAAAGCAAAAACTTGCTGATCCAATAAATGATCTAAAGTACACAGTAATTAAAGAATTTGAAAGCTTAAATAGCTCCACCCTTGTCATTTTTTCCAGCTCTAGAAACCAATAATGTTAAAAGACAGCTTTCCAGATGTAGTGAGAATAGATGAGGAGCCCTAATGGCAGTAGTATCTTTCACTTTAATCTTACTTAATCTCTGATCTGAAAATTAGTGAAGCTGTGACTTTGATGGAAGGGAGTAATGTGGGAGTGCATGTGAGAATTAAGGCAGAGGCAGCCTTGCCTTCTACTCCCTCCTCGACCTTTGGCGCTTTCGTCTGTGACTCACGGGGGCTTTCTCAGCTGGAACGGGCAGAGCTGGACGGCATCAAAACGCGCAGGAACTGTTCTCCCTCCAGCACCGCCGCTTTGCGCGAAGACAGAAGTGATCAGGGGAATGCTTGCCTGTGGCTTTGGTCACTCGGGGGCCAAAAATTGCGGGGTTTGCCTTTGTCTCTCACAGCAGTTGATCCTGGGCCGGGAGGGCAGCCCCTCTAGTTTGCAGCTGGTCCTAGACTCTTACTCCCTGTTTCACCCAGACTCTTACTCCCTGTTTCACCCTGTATGATGCAGCACAATTATCAGCTTTCAGTCATAACCCTGCAGCAAAATTTTCCCAGATCGATCATCTACTGACTTGCTGCTTTTATAAATTTGATGTAAGTCACATTCCTTGTCCCCTCCTGGGGAATATTCTCACTTCCACCAGAATATACAATTCTAATGGTCTTTTTTATTTCTAGAGCCCTGCTTTCAAGGCCATTGACCAATGTTTCGTAACATCTCAATTCACAGATAAAAAGTAGAGCCACATGACAAAGCAATAGTAATGCTACTTTTAAAATGGCAGTCTGGTTTTCTATGCAAATCAACACAAAAGCATGTGTAATCTTAAATCTAAATGTTGTAGCTAACACTAGAAATTGGCATTATTCTAGGACTCACAAAAAACCGCTGTTTTGAGTTGGAGGATTGGTTTGGGGGGGAGGGGGGTTTCCTCCTCTGTTGACGCTGGATGCCTGAAGGAGCCTCTCATCCATCGGGCCGAACGGTGTCCTCAGCGAGGGCTGCGAAGTGACTCCAGGAGAGAAGGAGTTGCTGCTGGTTTCCAGTGCCCTGCTGTGTTTCCACTAAGACGTGGTGTTCAAAAGCAGATTTTGTTCGCACATTTAAAAACAACAACAGCCACCACACCAGAATCTTCAGGTAATTACCTGCCCCCAGAGAAACAAGGAAAAGCAACTATATTTGACTACACCAAAGAGCTCCGGGGTCCTCTCTTCTTTCACCTGCCCATCGTAATCCAGCTTTCTGTACAGTCAGCTCACGCCAGGTCCTGCTTTCAAGCAAATACCTCTCTCTATAGCACCACAAAGAGCCTGCAGTGCAGGCTGAAAGCAGCAGCCCTTGTCTCGGT